GGATAGGATGGGTCACGTAAATTATTATGGGAAGGAATCTGTGTACAAGAGAAAATTCTCATGAGAATAAACAGAACAATCTGGAAGTGCTTTAATGTACCCTTTGACTTTAAGGTGTGTTTTAATTCCTTCCCACTGTGTCCTTCCCAAATGAAATGTGGGATAAAAGATATGCTGGTGGGAGTTGCTTCCTAATATTCAGCCTTTTTGCTAGAAGAAACTCAAATACTTGCTGCAGAGCAAGTCAATTTAATACATCTTCTTTGCTACTTCTTCTTTCTCCTTCCAAATGCTGCCTTTTTCTATTGATCCTTCATTAGCAGTTTTTTTCCTAGTGCCTATAATGCAGTTTGTGTTCCTTGGCTGGCATCTAAAATACAATAGCAAACAATTACATAATCAATTTTAATAAGAAAAGAGGAAAAAACAACTTCTACAGTTAAATTACACAGTCTTTCCCTTAGCTCAGGAAATCATATCTAAACAAACTGAATGTGTTTCTTTGGTCATGGATCTAATTTTCCAGTAACAATTACAATTTATCAAAGGTTGGTGTTCATTTAAATACTAAAACAATTGCATACTAACAGTCAGATCATTTGTAAAAGGTTTATTTGTATTTGCAAAGGGTAACCTGTCAAACTAGATTGTCTGTGTCACTTTTAGTCTGGAATCTCTGCATCTGTATTAGCATTTATGAGCCAACAGGACAGAGACAAGGAGACTGAGAGTCAGTAATTTAAGTATAGCCTCAATCCTTTTATCCCTCTTCAGGAACTCAAAGCATGATTTTTACTGAGGTCCTTACTCAAACCCAAACATAAAGAATGACAGGTATATTTTATGCTTTTATTGACCATTTAATAGCTATTCTATAAACCATCTAAAAGAAATGGATTATGCTCAGCTTGCTCCCAGGGGAGCTGTTCTGCAAAGGCAGAAAACTTAACTCTTTTCTTTACACCACGAGAATGTGCTTCAGTGACGTATCTCCTGCTGGGTAGCTGAGGTAGCTGGGGCCCCAATCTTCCTCCTCAAGTGCAATGTGTTCCATTTCAGAATAAAATCTGGCTGAGAACTCATTTTGAGCCCAAGAATATCCAACACACTCACATGCCCACAAAATACAGCACTCTGTGTTACAGAAAAACTCTTTTGCAGCACATTTACTAACTTCCTGCCCCAAGAGTATTTTACCCCATCTTTTTAATTAAGATTTTCACTACCCTGAAAGAGCAAACTGTTTTAAAATCATAGTGACTTCAAAATTCCCTTTGTCAGCTGATGCTTGGGCCCATTCCACTTCCTATAAAGTATTCCATCTTCTAAACTGTTAGCTTTCCAGCTCTGACCAGAAACCTTTTAATGTGGATAAAATAATTTCAGATGACTGCATTAGCCAAGTATGAGTCACACAATTTTTTTGCTATCTCAGTCATTGGGGAAAATTTTTATTGCTCTGAAGTCCATTTCTGCAATTCTACATCCATTATACCAGTAAGTATGTTACCCAAGAGCAGCTTAGATTTCTGAAATGTATAGGAAAAGAAAAGGCAGCTTTCTGTTTCTAAACATGTTTCTTCTTTTTGCTCCGCTATCTTCAGCGGAGTTTGTTATTAGGAGCAGGTTGTACAAAAAAGATCACCTGGACAGAAGCATCACTGGTCTATTTGACTAGATTAGCACCCAGCAAACACTCCCTCAATTTAAGGCACAATTTTAGGCATGATAATTCCTAACCATAAACTTCATCCCAAAAATTAACAAATAGGACTTTTGCCAGCACACCAGAAACAAAATCAGCTGGTCAGTCTGAGGTCGACAGATGAGAGCAACATACAAAAGTCCTCAATGAAGGATTAGGAAAAAAGCTAAATTAATTCTTTTCATCTCTGCATGGGATCTCGGAGATGTTCCCAGACAAGAACCTTTACTGATGGGGTACAAGTGAAAAGAACTGTCTCACAGTGAAGTGTTAGTAAGAGATGTAAAATTAAATGCATAAAATGAGTCCCTACTCATCACCAGGATCAGATGGGATTCACCAAGAGACAGCTGAAGGATGAAGATGCTAAACTATGAACTGCAGTGTGCAACCTGCTGATCAAAATGGTCTCAGTACCAAAGAAATAAAGTCAGCAAGTCTGATACCAATCTTTAAAAAAGCAGTGGAGATAATCCAATAAACTATAAAACCAAGTCCAATTTCTGTACTGAGAAGATCGCATGAAACTACATCAATGACAATAACTTGTGTGCACAAAGGTGAGAGTGAGGAGTAACCCCCATGTGTATGTAGAGGGGTGGACGATGCTAAGTTTCCTGGTGAGAAAAGATCATTCAGGACTGTTAAAAAATAAAACTGGCAGAAAGGTGCTGCAGAGGATTTTCGTAATATTTCACGACTGAATTAAATGGCAGTGATATCAAACATACTGCAATGAGGGTGGAGTGGAAGGGAAAGGAATCATCCCCTTTTGTAGTGGTGGGTGCTACCTGTCTATTACTGCTGAGGAAGTCATCGAGGACAGTTCTTTCAGTGTCAGGTTCACAGCTCAAAAGAGCAAACATGAAAAGGGAGAAGAGAAATAAACAGGACTCATACTGTAACAGTGTATAAATCTATGGGACACTTGCCGCTTGAACACTGGATGTGAGTTTGGTCTCCCCTTCTCAAGAAGGATATGGCAGAAGTAGCAAAGACACAGAAGGGCAGCAAGAAAGGCAGAACAAGGATGCCAGAGAAGGGGACATGTTCTTAGAGAGGAAAAACCACCGTAAGACATGCTAAGAGATGCACGGAACGATGAGCAATGAACAGAGTGGAGAAGGAAGTGCTGGTTTGCACAGCATGATTCTTAAACTGCAGAACTCATTGCCACAGGGTTTTATGCATGCCAAAAATAAAAATGGGTTCATAGAGCACTTAAAGAAGAGCTCAAAGAAAAATATTTCCTTGGGGCTGGGAATCACAGTAATGAACGTTCAACCTTCAACTCAGGAAGTACCTAAAGAGCAAGTGGCCAGGAGCCAAGTGTACACACGGGAAAGCATCACTCTGTGCTTTCCCCACTGGATGCTTCTGCTGGCAGTCATGGACAAAACACTGAGCTAGATGAACATCATCCTATGGTTTTGTGTACAGTGTATCTAACCATATCTCCTGGTCTCTCTAGCAGGTTTACGAGAGACCCAGAAACAGTCACCTGGGCCTTTTCCACTCTGCAGACCACTGACATAGTCTCACCTTCCCAATCTACTGCAAAGGTTCAACATCACAGAACCAAACCTCTTTCTCTGACAGGAACAGAGAACTCTAATTTCTCTACAGGTCAGCAAGAGAGAGGGGCAGACAAAGCTGGCCTGTTCTGTATACCCTCAGCTCCTCTCTAAACTGCCTTCTCATAGACTGAGCGTTCAAGTCAGCTGCCAAAATTCATGTTTCTACTTATTTATATAGAAATCCATATGAGTTATGAGGAACCTTCTTCTCCCACAGAGTTTTCCTCTCTAAACTACTGAGGTTTCACATTGTTTGAATGAAAATATTCAACTACTTCTATGTATCACAAGTAAATGTGGAAAGCTGTCATTCATGCCCATGCTTTCCAAGTTTTCCAGCTAGCCCTACTGCACACCTATACAGATTACTTATTCAGCAATTTACAATCCTTTGATCTTCTTCCTGAATCTTACAATTAAAGTCCTTGCTGCAGTTGTTAGCAAATTCTAAATTGGCTCAAAATTCCAAGGACTACTTTGTTTCCTCAAATACACTGGTCACGGCAGGAAGCCCACTGGCATCCTCTTCCATCTGCTTTAGTATTCTAGCTGCGTATCTTGCAAGAAGACCTTTCACTGTGATCTAGTCAGCTGGTGAGTAGTTGCTCTATCATCAAGGCTTTCAGATCATGCCTCACTCATGGCTGCAGTCCCTGTTTTTTTCCCAAAGTCATAATTTTTTAACATCTGTATATGTACATGAAGCCTTTACATCTCTCAAATCTTGCTTTTTTCCCCATCAATAATGTGAATTAAGGAACACATCTATTACTTGGTATATATGCAGAACACTCGCTTTCAGTTCATATTATTTTAGAAACTGAATCCCATCTGTTACACCAGTATGGCTAACTAGACAGCCAAGGTCTCCTGGGCTGGGTGACTTGGGAGGAGTACTGATACTAGAAGAATCAGACAGCAGCAGTGTCTGCTCTCAGCTCATACCACAGAAAGCTCTTCCTCCAGGCCACAGCCTCAACACTTCCTCAGGCTGGCTATACCTGACGCATCTGTGAGTTGCTGTCCCTCAAGAAGCCCTTTCACAAGAAAAGCTAGTGAAAGAGATCATCACATTTAACGGGGCTGTTCTCCTATCCCTGACTTCCAGCCGCGCACTACTGCAACTCACCATCCTTCAGATGGGGTTTGCCGAGGAAGGCCATCAGCAACACGAATAGTTTTTAACTGGCTCACAGAAGAAATGGACGTATGCTGCCCTCCAGGTCACCCCGAGACAGGGCAGAGGCCGACAGTAAGAGCAGGGGAACACCACCCTTCCCTTTCAACACCGGAGGCAAGGCAAAGTTGCCACTGCTGCACGGCCTTTGCACATCTCTCATTTTGGTGGCCCTCCCTGAGGCGCACAAGCCCTGGCAGCACACGGAACATGCCCTCGCTCCTGCTCGGGGTGACGACAGTGGAAGGTGTCTGGGGTGGAGGTTTCCCTTCTTCCAGAGAGCGACGAGATGTTCTCAGGGGGAGACGGAATCAGACGTGTAACCGCTCTGCTCACACGCAACGGCGGTGGGTGTTCCTCGGCCAGAAGAAAATGGCCGCAGCCACACGCGGGCAGGGAGAGGCAGCGGCGGCGGGGCCGGCAGGCGGCGCGCTGCTTCGGCCCGTCTGCGGCCCCGGGAGGAGGCCTGTC